GATTTAATTATGAGTGTAGGTGTCTATTCCATAAGACATCCAGATGTTACTGGCAACAATGGCATGTATCATGGCAAAATGAGTGCTCAGTCGCCTCTGCATACTGGGCTGCCAGCTTCTGCTCAAACACTAGGAAATAATTTGGTATGCTTCTTTTTTCTAATCCCTTCCCTGCTGCAATAGTTTATTAAAAGCTTACATTTGCTTCAATTATAAGCTCCTAGCACAGAGCTGCCTAGATAATATTTCTTTGATATTTTTATTATATCATCTGAACCTGTGAAACATATGGCAACTTTATGATGCCTTACAGCAGTCGGAATTCAATGACAGGCACTCACAATGCTTTGAACAATGAACCTGTCAGTAGCCTGAACGACTGATGAATGCAATCCATGTTATTTATTGACTCTGCTTTTCATATTGTAAATGATAAAATGTGTACTGAGGGAAGTAGTCACAAGTTTTGTAAAAAGTTCATCATACTGTATATTAACTTGACTGATGTGATAGTCGTAAGGGTGTTGTTGCATATTAAAGTGTATGTAAATCTAAAACATTTTTTTATTTGTGAAAGTGTAATGAATGGACAGCTCCTGTCAATTTTGCTCTGGTTGTCTGTGACCCATTGACATGTTGCCCTCTATTCCTGTCCCAGAGACACAGCAGGAAGTAAGAGGAGATGGTTCCAAAGCAAGGGTATATCCCCTCCTAGATAATTAAGAGAACAGGTTTCTCCACTGGAAAATTTCCCTTAATCCCTGTTTCTTGTGACGAGTCAAAAATGTTGGATTTATCATTTATTCACTTTCTGTATGGAGAACAATGGTCACCAGGACATACATTGAGGGGGAATCTTCCCAACAGGGATACAAGCAGCAGCAAAAGTCTTGCAGTGGTACTAAACCTTCCAAGTTGTATCTAAGTCATAAAAAAATGGCTATATATTAACACTTTAAAGTATTCCAATGCATTTTTATGCATGTCTGCATGAATAGATTTTCTGCATGTTGCAATATATAGCAATAATAAAGTAAATCAAATTCATCATAAAAAAACAGTCAGTCAGTGACTGTACCTAATCCTGACAGGAACATGTTTAGGCTGGGTTCACACCTATGCGTATCGAATATGCGCGTTTGTCGCGCGTTTCGTGACACGTGTTTTTACCGTGGTAAAAAATGCGTGACAAATACGCGTTTCAGAGGGTTACTTGGCTGTATCCCAATGGAAACGCCGACAAAAATGCCCCAAAGAAGCTCCTGTACTTCTTTGGGTGTAGGACGTTTTGTAGCGCGTTCATACGGCCTGTAATACGCCCAGGTGTGAACCATACCCATAGGAAATAATGGGATTTCGGTGTTTGAGCGGTTTGCAGAGCGTTCGAACGCGCTACAAAACGCCAAGGTGTGAACCGGGCCTAATTAAGGCTCTTCATTGTATGTTTCTGGGAAGTTGGGACATGAGAGTCATTGGGGTAGCAAATGTCTGTGAAACAACTACTGTGGGCTCTCCCACTCTGTCCTGTCTAGATGGCAGGCTGGTCCGACCATTGGATGCATGGCCCCAGCCCCTCACGAACGATCACCCAGATTGCCTAACCAGGCATGTGCAGTCTACTGTCTTTCTCACTTGCAGGATGCTGAACTCAGCCACTGCCGTGAGAGAGAGTGGACTGCACATGTGTAGTTCTCATAGCCAAGTTATCGTTCATGAGGGTCTGGAGCCATGCATTCAACAATT